TACCATAATTATTTACTTAACCTTACCGTATTATGCCTCCGCACACTGCTGCCAATCCCGTAAACTACGAGTAAATATATAATTATTCCCTTTCTAACATATCATCTCTTATAAAATTACCAATGTTTTCTTGGCAATTGCTTTAATGCTAATTCCAATTACCATCGCTATTTAGTACTGTCTTTCAGTCATTACTTTATTCCATCCCATAACACAACCACCATATAAACCGTGTCTTAATAAAAAAAATATCTTGTCTTGGCACACCACATATACTCGTATATATATATATATATATATATATAACGTCTATTTACACTAAAGAACCTTATTAGGTGATAATATTGACTTATAGACTGTACGTGTATGTGTGAGTTGTAGACAAACTGACCGGTACAATGGCTTTGTGAAGGTAATGTCATGCTAACCCAAAGGTTACTTTAACATTCGCCTGCCACGGTATGTCCAATTCAAGTGTAATAGTTACTGGCTGTAAGTATACTACTTAAATGTTGTAGTCTATTCCGATACAAATAGGAACTATTATACGTTAGCATCAATATTTTGGATCATATTATCAAAGACAATTTAAAACTTGAAAATATACTCTTTTACTAACACGCAAGGTTTTCACGTGGTCTCATGATATTTCAACTTACTAAAACTGTTTGAAAGTCTTTATACAATATAATTTTACTTTAAATCATTTATGTCTAGATAGACTATCAAAGCTATGAAAGAATCTAAAAAAATAGTATCCAGCTGTTGGCCTCTGTCACTCACTCACTCTGTCCGCTGTGTTGTTGCTGTCCTTTATAGTGATTGATTTACACGCACACCATCATAATAAACTGATTTAATTTAATGGGCTTAAAGTTTATGCCATAGATATAATCTATAATATATAACCTCGTAGACGCAGTACTTATCGCGTCTGAATTGATCTCATTACCGTAGACAAAAACTTGTTATAAAATTTTACGAAGGTTATTTGACATCGATATTTAGTCTGAACCGTTGAAGAGATGACATACACAACATATGCACAGGTATTAAACCCCATGACCAGCTAATTCCCATCAGTAGTAGTAGGTGCTTTCATTAGTTACACACACCTTTAAAAGAATTTATAGGAGAGGAGAGAATCTGTACCTACTAATCTATACTGTTATTTAAGACGTATTATGGATATATCCATAGGCACTGTTGGTAGTGTCTGCATAATTTGTGACTTTGATTTAGAACAATTTGTAGCATAAAGGTTTGAACTATTCTTTTTATGGTATTGTACACATATGCTACATAGATTTTAAAATCTTCTACAATATCTTAATTAATTTAATGTACTACGTAGACATACGTTACTTCTTCAAAATGACTTAGTATAAAACACAGAAAAAATAATTATCTTTTCTGTGTTTTATACTGTCATTTTGTTTATTTTTTCATTGTTTATTTTTAGTACTACCTACGTTTTGTTGATAAATATTGACGCCGTAATTTATACCTATTTTGGTAAATGTCATTACATCAATATCACAAAAGGTCCTGAGGTCACTTACTAGTTTACAAACAGACAGAAAAAGTAACTTTCATATTTATAAAATTAATGTGAATATCGCAACAGAACGCCTGACAGAAACTCACTGGCAACAAATTCATTTTATAAATTTTAATGGAACAAACACTCGCTATGCAACGTCGTTGTCAGTTATTGATAAAAAAAGAAACTACGCCTACACATTTAAGGCTTCGTCTAGACATAAAATTAGGTACGGATTGCACAATTAACAGGCAGGTAGGCAAATAGGTATTAAGTGTTTACATCAAACAGTCATTTTATTTTTATCACAAAAATAATTAATCTTTTTATTTCATTCCTCTGAGCACCTGTTTCATAAAAGTGGCCTTCGCGTTTCATTCTTCTCTAGCCACAAGGTCGCATAGATGAGTCCCTCTGGAGGTTGCTACATTGAAGAAAAGATAGTAATCGTAATATAGAATCCTCATCAAAGTTATAAAAAAAGTAAAGTGATAAACGTGAACTTAAATGTTTTTCATTTGCTTATACCTAGTTTGCTAAAAAAGGTACAAGTACATGCCATCTGGAGAAAAGTGTTGTTAATGAGGATGAAAAACGACTACAAAACCGTCTCAAATAGGTTGTATTGTATGGATATTTAGTAATATGAGATTTTTTTTAACGAGTTCTCATTTAATTATAACTTAACATTAACATAACTTCTACCATGCTATTCAAATTTTTCACTATTATTCTATCTATAAAAAATCACAATAACGTGACTATATTCGGATCAATATCTTATTATGCAATGTAACGAGCTCAAACACCACATCCGTAAGACAACGCCCCACAAACTCAATCTTTTAACAAACAATTAATCTACGATTTATAGTTATGTTTTAATCACACCATAATAATAATACAGTCACAATTTTTTCATTGCCTCTTAAAACCTTCACATTAAAGACTAATTTACTGTTGTTCAAAGTAAACCAAACTTGTTTTATAATCTAGCTGAGTTTAAAAGGGCCTTGAGATTTGAAAGTGCAACCAGCAGCCGGAACATAAACGTATTACGTTCCAGGAAAAGTCTAGAATAAAAAAATCTATAACCTTCATAATCACCTCGGTACAGAATTTGATGAGAAAATAGATAGATAGATAACATTAATTTATACACCACTATTGCATTTATGCATATGATACCTATATGATTTGTGTGAACACTGTGAACACAATACAAGGAGATATCTATTACTTTACATGACACAATCCAAAAGCCTGACCGTCGCGTCTGTTTGAAACGAAACGTATGATATGATCTTATTTAATTTTTACAAAAGGAAACTGAACCCTTCTGGAGTTTATTCTTTATTATTAACTGACTCCAGAGTCTCAAAAGAAGGAAGAGGTTCTCAATTTGTTTTTTTTTTTAATGTTTGTTACCTCATACTCCGTTATTCATAAACTGAATTGGAAAATTCTTGTGTTGATTTGAAGTCATGGACTTTCCATGACGGAACCTTCTTATTTACATGGTATAAAACGAAGTCGCTATTTGTCGACGAAATCGTCACTCCAGGTGGAGTGACGATTTGCGCAAGATGGCTGGCAGGAGCTGGATGCGAGAATCCCAAAATCGATCGAAGTGGCGTGCAATAGGAGAGGCCCATGTCCATCAGTGATAGTGATAGTGACAATGATTAAGGCAAAATTTGTTTACATACTCGTGCATACCCTACATGCACTAACGGCATAATACCGACGGTGTTTTCCAGTACCCATATTTCTCTAACGATAATTTTAGTCCATTTTGTAAACGTGCAATGGGAGAGGCCTATGTCCAGCAGTGGACTGCGATAGGCTGATGATGATGATGATGAATTAATTACTCCACACTGACACCACATTGGTAGTATCTACACTGCACCCATGCGAAGCCAATGTAATAAAACAAATACTAATAAATATCACACAGACAACCGCAGATATCAAATTCAAAATATCTTTCTTTGTTTGAAATCGCTTTTTATGTAGACTCTAAAGTCGTAGATCAACACACACAATAGCAACAATCTCTGTTTAGTCAAATAATTAAGTTTTATTTTTTCAAATAAAAGTTATGCTCATACAAAATCTATGATATGCCTTTGCCAATCCAATGTAAAGTGTATGTATCTAATTTTAAAGTTACATAGAGACATAATTCGTTCAATGATCTTTTCAAGAGATGTTTGCGAAACTGAATGCGTTCATATTGATCATGTTGATTGTATAGTGAAAATTCTATTTTTAATCTTGAAATATTTATTTATGTGACAATTATTCCTAGAAATCTTCAATTAAATATATCATAGTGAGTACTATTGCACTATCATATCATCATCATCATCATCAACAGCCTATACTAGTCCACTGCTGGACATAGGCCTCTCCTTAGAAAGGACGTTTTGCACTATCATATAGCACTATTGATTGATGATGAATACATGGTCACCTACTAGATAACCGTAAAAATTTATAGGGCACTTGAAATAAAATAGAAAAGTACAGAAAAGCACCTAAACTGTTTGAAACATTCTTAAACAATGATTAATCTGTAAAAAGCAAAAGGAAAGGGTCTGATTATGTTGGTCAGGCTGTTACTGAGCACCCACTCCCGGCCGCTATCCCACTACTGCCCGATACGGGGACTTTTGGCTGCTGGGTTTCCCCCCTGGCCCGGTTCGCCCCTCCTTAGTTAACCTGCATCCCCCAGACTCCTCCAGGGGATCCATATTAATACCGGGCTTAGTGTGGACGTCCAGTCAACATGGGCCACTTAGCAACAGAACTCCCGACCTCAAACCATCCTCCACTCCCGACCTCCGAGTAGCCAGATTACAGGAGACGCCACGCTCCCAGTCGAAGACTAAATACAATTTTCAGTTCAGTTTCTAAAATACAATCATTTGGGTCAAATCCTGAAATAATACAATAAAAACCAATAAAATTGTTTATTTATCACAAAAATGTTAAAATAGTATTATTGTAATTTTCACTAGAAGTTACGATTATTTTTTTGAAATAAAACCAAAGCATATCGTACGCCATCTCGCAACAGTATCCCACATTAGCGTCAAAAGTTACTCTTGTGAAAGCTTTAAATATTTATAGATGGCGCTGGCAGGTAAGCCTAAGGTAAGATCTCATTTAATATTCTTATTAGATAAATATCGAAGTTAAAGCTTTTAATTCATAAATATGTTTGTTACATACTGTTTTTAAATTTTTAATTTTTTTAACACCATGGGTTATACCGAGCAATCAGCAATAATAATACGTTTGACAACCAACTTGAGTCGACACAGCTGTTCAAATTGTTTCTTTTGTTTGAAATTTCAAGCAACGGCAAAATTTGAATATTTTATCTTAAATACAGCTTTAACTTAGATAAGTGCCATTAAAATATTTTCTATATTAATAAAGTTCTAATATGGACTCTGCAAGCAGACTCAACTACAAAAGGTATATTTTATAAACACAATTCGAAGTAAATAGAGCTCTCGTAGTTTAAACTTGCGCGCTATATTGTATTGATTTTCTATCCCAAAATAAGTTTGAATGATGTAAATAAATCATAAACAGGACCTTTAGCACTTTCTTAGCATTTATTCGTCCAGCAAGTTTTCCTTGAAAGTCTTGGAAGGTGTTTATGAAAACGGAATTGTGTATTTTAGGAACAAAGGTGCGGATTCTAGTTTGACTCCTGTAAAACCTCGGCTTGGACGATTTCTCGATGTTTACTCACCCGAACACTTAAACATAACACCCAAACCTGTAAGTAAATATGATAATAGTGAAATAAGTTAAATATCATGCATTTCTAATGTTAAATTAAACTTCCAGAAATCCAAACTTATTTTCGCTGAAACCAGGAATGCGAGTCCAAATTTACTTACACCTGAAAAGTTTTCAGAAGTTGAGTTTAAGTGCAGGTATGTAAAATAATCACAATCCCAAGTAATTTAATTGTTAAATGTACCAAATTTTAAAGGCACATAAAATTCTTCTCAAATCTTAATATATGGAAAAAGTTTGCACCTATTATTTTCAGTGGAAATATAATTTCCAAAAAGTCCATGATTATTAAGGTACAGGTTAAGTAAAAAGGTTTTAGTTTACATTATTACATTTGTGATAATCCAGTTAATGCATAAAAGTGAATGAATTTTATTGAAGAATGAATTAAAGTAGCATCACAACATTATTCTTAATTGTTATTGTTGATTCCCCCACACATTTTCTAACACTGTCATTAACTATGACCATTAACTACATCTATTAATAACACACAGATTACAGGACAATAGTCTGTAAAAATGTAGACTAGTGAGATGACTATTTAAGAATTTAATTTTAAAAACATGTTTGTTTATCAAATCTATCATATTTGATTATAGAACAGAAGAACACCAAACAAACAGTGCTAAGATGATGATCACACAAACAAGGGTCACTAGCTAAAGTATTTATACACTTTAGCTAGTCACCCTTGTAATACATAGCTAATCATACTAAATCAGGGAAATCATACAAATGGAAGGCTAAATTTTGCTTATATGTTAAAGTATTATTTCCATATAAAATATATAATAATATTGTATATAAAAGTACAATGAAGATGTCCCACAGGGCTTTGTGAGACTTTTGGGTACCTTTTTTTTTGTTCAATACCAGATTTGTGAAATTGTAGTTTTCAATAGAAGACTTTATTTTCTTTATTCATAAAAAAAAATATCGAGAAAAGATAAACTAGGCTTTTAATGTTAGTGGTTCGGTGTGTGAGTGGTAAGGGTTTAGCAGTCTTAAATGTAATGCTTAAATAAAGGAACACAGTCTACCTTTATCTCCAAAGGTTTTTATATATAAAGAAATAAATGCCTTGTTTAATACTCTCCTGTACTGTATATTTACATGCAGTTAATTTACAGTAGAGGAAAGAATTAGAGTTAAGTTTCTACAGTACCCTATTTGGACTTGAACACTTCTCATTGGTGCTAAATATTAAAAATTTAATTTAAAAAAAAAACTGAAATCCACGCCTTTAAATAAATATTGACAATCATTAAAAAATTGCATACAAATCAAAAACACCTCTTTATTGTAAGAAAAGTTATAATTATCTCTTGTTTGTTTGCAGGACAGCTAAAACTCAAAAGAATTTTCGAAATGTGTTCAGCAACTGTTCCTTTGAAGGAAACCAAAGTTTTCCTCGCCTAAAAAGCAAAGTGCGTCCAATTAGGATGGAGTTAGAGACGCCTACCAAATTGAAACAGCCTATTGATCTTGTGCGAGGTATGTAATTAATTCTTCATCTCACTTTGAGAGATAGATCTCTAGATTAGATTAGATTAATTAACATATGACTTTAAAAATTGACCGAGTTTATTAAGGTGTTGATAATGTGTTAATTTTATTTCTTTCTACACTTCTAAGTTATTGGAAACCTGTCACGGTAGACCACCATTTTGTCTATGGCCTAAAGAAAGACAGGTTGGAAATCTGTGGCTTCATTTAGTTAGGAAGTGATGGCTGCTAAACGGTAAAAAGAGAATTGGAGAAGGCTTGTGCTCTCCCATCATGAAGTACAGGTAGCTTGGTTGGAAAAATCCCTGAGCGCTGGCTATACATTAACGGATATGGCTGCCTGTTGACTCATTATAGGCAGACCTAAGACAGTGGTAGATCTTCCACCTCCATGGTACTGCTTATTGTTTAAAAAGCAGCCAATATGGGATAGGACTCCTCAGACCCTCAGACCCATTTGTGATAGTTTTAGTTAATTATAATTATCTTATATAATATCTAATGAGTCTTTTTTTATACTTGCGTCATAGTGGACGGGCCGAATGGTCTCAGATTCAATACATCGTTAGCTACAGACGCTACTGGCTCGCCCGCCCCGCCACAGACTGATCGGCTGCAACAAACTATCAATCCAAGCAAGGCTGTGTTTACTATCGAACCAAATACTTCTAAGGTATGTCAGCCATACAAAAAAAAATTGAAGTGTATGTTTCTAAAATTTAATATATTATCTTAGCTATTTACTTAACTTGTTATATGGAATAACGCAAAGAATAAAGAATTAAATTCAAATTAACTTACTATCTATTAAAAATAAATAAAATGCTTTGAGAACATTTAACAAATATAGCTGTTGTTCGATTTGATTGTAAAATAAACCTATAGTAATTTCTTTATTGATTACTTATTATTAGTACAACACAACTTAAATGTTGTTTGTTGGTCATATTTAGATCCAGACATTCTACTTCTAAAAATACATTATTCTAGTGTGTCTTTCCCTCGGAGGTATTCACCCCTAAAAATCAATATCTCGAAATACCACAACTTGTTAAAAATAGAAGGTGGCAGATAGCTGATGACATAAGGAGTAACTTAGGCTACTTTTTTTAGACTAGCTTCGCCCCGCGGCGTTGCCCGCGGTTATAACAACAAACGCGGGTAACACCGCGGGTCTCAGCTAGTTATTAATAACACACACACGTCCCAAACTAGGCAGAGATTGTACTTTGGTACCAGATTGCTCACAAACATACATATTCCTTAATACTTACAAATTGGAGATATATAACACTTAAACACAGAACAAATGATCATGCTCATCACACAATTATGTGTCCGTTAAACAGTACTTTTTTCTAGATCGAACTTCAACTATATTGTCTTCTGTACCACTTAAAAATATATACCTACTTAATATTAAGATGGTAGGATTAGTAAAGGTTTAGTAATTAGGTACTGCGAAAGCGGAACAAACCACTTGACATTTGCATTTGTACCATTAATTAAGATGATACTTAAATATCAGCCACTAATCAATTCAATATATTTGTCCTAGATTTTAATAGTGAACAATAAAGCCTGCTCATTACTTGGCTACTCTAGTGGAGAGCTTTGCGGTCTGCGGTTCTCAGATCTACTGCGCAGTAGAAGCTGCAAGGCGTTCAGCTTACATGAACCAGAGGAATGTGATACGTCTGAAGATGGTACCATTGTTTTGCTCAGTGGAAAGGTAACTCAATATTAATGGCCGTTTTTCGAACACGTCAACAAGTGTCTGTTTGTAATGTCAAAATAATAAGTTTTTTCCATGCTCATACGGTTATTTTGCACGATACCTATGCCTTAAAACCAGTTTAAATATTTTTTATCTGTGTATCTGTCTGTTTGTTCCGGGTAATCTTCAAAACGGCTAGACCGATTTTGATAATATTTTACTACCAGGTAGCTGTCTATATGTATAAAGAGTAACTTAGTATATTTTTCTTCTCAAAAAAACCACTAAGGCAGCGATTTTCAATCCCCACGCGAACGAGGAAGTGTAAATGCAGGTGTTACGAATATCGAAATAGTTAAATTAATTTATTAAACAACTTCAAAAATCTATTTCCGGCCTTATGTACGCGTATAACAATAAAATTCATAGTCCCGTGTTGTTCTGCATTACTATTGGAATATTCTCGAAGTTAATGAACTCTAAGGAGGGTTCGTTACATAATAAATGAAAATCTCGAAGTAAAGAAATTTTGCTATCTAGCATCGGAAAGGACGAGTACTTATAGTAGGGCAAATTAAAACAATACTTATAAGTATATGTAATACCTGGTGAAGGTCACGGGAGACCATTGGATGCGGGCAGCACAGGACCGGTTGTTGTGGAGAACCTTAGGGGAGGCTTGACCCCTCTTCCATAATAAAAGTGTGTGTATAGTTTACACCTCTGCCATTTCTTATGGGAATATGTATTAAGGAATTAAAAAATAGACCTCGACTGAAATCAGAAGATGGTTTGATCGAGGATTAGCAAAATTTCTAAGAAATAATGTTCTTTTACTTTTTTTCGACTTTTCTTGTTATACAATTTATAATATTACTGTTGCAGGTAGTGGAATTGATCTCCAAAGATGGTAGCTCAGTGCAAGTGTCTTTGTGGATAAGACAGCTGGACAACGATGGACCATGTTTGGTCGTAGCCGAGCCCGTAAACTGCAAAACCGTTTTGGTGAGATATCATATTTGATCAGATACAACACACTCTAAAAGCTTTTCCTCTGTCCATCTGTTGGTTTAAACCCGTTTTTTATTTTTCAATTTATAGTAGTATATTTATTACATACACCATAAAACTGCTTTAAACAAACCAAGACATTTTTCCCGGTTGAAATAATTACAGCGAAATATAATTAAAAATGTGAAAGAATAAACTAATTTATGAGGCTCCTATGAGTTTTAGATCCCATAGGACCTAGTTAAAAGCACTCGTATCCGGTGAGTGTATATGAAAGTTCTGATAATCGTTCGGCTCTGTCTCGAAGTGGAATAGGGCGTGACTATGTGGATGTTTAACTGAACCGTGTGTTGGCAGTTGACAGTGGAGGCGGAGAGCGGGGCGGTGGTGTCGGTGGCGGGCTGCGCGGCGGCGGCGCTGTTCGGCGCGGAGAGCCGCGACAAGCTCGTGGGGCTGCCGCTCGCCTCGCTCATCCCCAGCGTCGTGCTGCCGCCCTACGACGCGCCCGTGCCCCGCGCACTCGCCAAGCAGAAACTCACTGGTATTAATTACTCATAACTATTACATTAGCCACCGCCTACGAATGCAGCATTCATCTCGAAGAGCTTAAGGGACAAACTCCGAACCAGGACAGATGTTTTCTACATATATAAAATGTTTTGTGTACGTTTCGAAAACTCAAAAATTTATCACGACACAACCAGCTTTAAAGATGGTTTAAATCAATTTTTTGTATTAGTTTCATTCCTCATTTCTCTTTAATGCAACGACGATATGCCACAATGAAATGTGAATGGTATAGCTAATTTTGTATAAAAATAGAAGTTCCCTGTGGTTTTATATACGATTACGGTCACCCCCCCCGGTCTTAGGGGTGGTTTAAAATAAAAAAACAAGTGAATCTCTCAGTAATCGCATATAATGGTTTAATCTCACCTGCCATCTGACGACCTACTTACTATGTATATTTTGCGAGAATGTTTTTCAACATTACACTATATCTTATTTTTTAATATCCATTATAGGACGAACACTAGACGGCGGTTGCTTCCCGTTATGCCTGTGGATATCAAAACCAGACTACACAGACACCACTCTATGGGGTACTATCAAGCATAGACAAGTGTTTGAAGTCAATGTCAGGGTAAGCTCTCGTGAATTATGTAATGAATTAACGAAATTGAAATAATATAATTTTTTCATGCGCAACATCACAGTCTGTAAAAAGCTTTATTAAATATCCTTGACTTGTATGTATTTGTTACGACTGTATTTTCGGATATAAATGAATAGTTTTGGTGGTGAATATACAATTAAAATATTTGTTTCTTATGTTAAGGTCATTATTCTCCATATTTAAAAAAAACTATTTGAAAATCAACTATTTCAAAACAATATTTTATTGCATTTCAATATTTAGATGACAACATTTTTATAACAAAACAAACTTGATGAAGTACAAATGTACCAAATATAATTCAAAATCAGTAACTCATATTTAAAATCGAATTGTATCGTACCAACTCGTCATAGCCCACTTATACGATGCTAATGCCGCTCAACGAAAATATAACGATATTACTCTACCTTATGTACATTTCGAGGGTGTCCGACTAGATTCAGACCTTCCGCGTTGGTGCCAGTCGCCACACTCTTTGTCCTTTCTAGATATGAATACAAGTCAAGAAAGTTTTTATATCAATAAAACAAAAAGAAATAAAAAGTCCTAAGTCGTGCTGTGTATGTACTTTTGCTAGCTTAGCCTCTGCAGTTTTAGTGGAGCCGTGTCTTCTAAAAAGGCTACGACCTTAACAATAATAATTTTATAATTTAGCTATTATTCTATGGGCCTGTTGGTCTAATGGTTAGTGACCCTGACTGGTAAGCTAATAATAATAATAAAAATGTTTATTTCATCTCCACAAATTACATTTTGTTTTATATTTAACAGTTGACAGGAAAACTGTCAAGAAATTTGCAATTTGTGGGAGATCTGGAGTCTAAACTAAGCCGAGGCCTGTACTATAGATCTCCAGGCCCCCCATTACATCACACTTAGCAGATTTGTCAACATGTCAAAAGCGTACTAGAGTGTGTGAATGAGTAAACAGTAAAAAGATTTTGCATTAAAAATATATATACGAATGGTTGCGCTGTGAGGGCGTGTGTGTGTGTGTGTGTGTGTGTATGGGCGTCTGGTGTGTGTGTGTGTGTGTGTGTGTGTGTGTGTGTGTGTGTGTGTGTGTGTGTGTGTGTGTGTGTGTGTGTGTGTGTAGCGTGTGTGCGAGGATCGTTAGGACTTGTACTTTTTTTTTTAGAGTATCAATTTTGCTTAAATTTTCGTCCGTTGTATGTAGATAAGTGTATAAATAATAATAATATAAGCTAATAAGCTGGAGGTCGTGGGTTCGATTCCCACCCAGGCCAAATATGGTGTGATGAGCACGGTCGTTTGTTCTGTGTCTGGGTGTAATTCATCTATAATATATTGACGACCGAATGGCGTAGTGGTTTGTGTAACGGACTGCTATTCCAAAGGTCGCGGGTTCGATTCCCGCTCAAGTCAAACATTTGTGTGCATGAACATTTAATGTTTGATTTGGTCTGGGTGTTTCTATGTATGATAAATATGTATTTACAAAAAAAAAAGTATATATGTATTTATATCAGTTGTCAAGTACCCATAGTACAAGCTCTGCTTAGTTTGGGACTAGATGGCGTTGTGTGAATGTGGTACAATATTAATTATAATATTATTATTGTCGGAGCGTAGCCTTTCAAGTACAGAGCTATTCAACAAATTACATCGCTTAATAGCTCGCACTTGATATATGTATGATTATTATTAATATGTATGTATTTAAAAAATATATAAGTATGTTTATCAGCATTCTGGTTACCATAGCACAGGCTCTGCATAGTTTGGGATCAGATGGCCGTGTGTAAGATGTCTGAGGTATACTTTTTTTTTTATATACTTTTTTATACTTTTAAAAAAGACAACTCCCGCATTAGGAATAAATCCTGTGTCGCGGGGGACCTTACAAACATACATGAAACGGACACAAAGAACACCCAGACTCAGAACAACAATTTGTGGATCACACAAAGTGTCGTCCCATGTGGGGTTTGAACCCACAACACTCGGCGTAGTAGGAAGCGGCGTGGCGACCGCTTAAACCACTACGCCATCCGTGCAGTCATATATTATATTATATATTATTTTATTCTTGTTTTTTAGGTAACCTACAACGTAAGCGGTCTTCTGGTAGTCGACGAAAGTGGTATAATTACCGCTTGCAACCATCACTTCGCGATGCTCACCTTCGGCAAGACCCACTCGGAAGTGATCGGTCACCATATTGACGACGTCATCCAACATTTCTGCAGGCATGCCGACATGGTTAAAATGCCAGATCGAAACAGGAATATGACTTTGTCGCCGGTCAACAATGACGATGATAATAATGGGTCAGGTACGATTGACAAAACCAAATTTTTTGAAAGCTATCCATAAGGATGTACTAATCACAAAGCAGATGTCCACTTTTTATATCTACGATTATTTGTTTTTTTTTTATTGCGAGTAAAATCTAATATGGCTCAAATTACACTGGTATATAGCAACTAAAATTAGGAATTGGAAATTAGTTAGATAAAAAAATCTTTTAAATGTAGATATTTTTATTCGAAGATGGCAATAAGTAAAATAAATATACTTTATAATATTGTTTATTCACCAGATAAATCAGTGGAAGGTAACGCTTGAACATGACGTAGTCTATCAATTTATTTTTATATTTTTGTAGAAATCTCACAATTCTTCTGAACATAGACAAAGTAAGCAAAATAAATGATTAATATCCTTTGTTAAAAAGAAGTAGAGCCGTCTTCAAGCAAAACTAACAAAGAGCACTAAAAACCTATCGGCAACGTTGTTGATTTGCTGTCATTTTTTGAAGAGTTCCGTTGTCTGTCTCAGAAACTCGTCATCAGATCTATATCAAATTTAAATGGGACCATTTCGGTATAAACCTCCTTCGAATAAAAATGCATTTTGAAAATTCATCTATACATGACGGGAACATACAAAAAAAAACATAAACATCCCAATTGACAACCTCCTCCTCTTTGAAGTCGGATAAAAAAAAACAAACTGTCATCAAGTACTTAAACGGAACCGTCATCTATCTGTCAGGCGTGACGCGCTAGAGACACTAGTCAAACTTGTCATTTTATTTTTTGCTGTGCATCGCTAGCAAAAGTTTAGTTCGTATTCGGCCTAAAAGTTTATCCAAAAATACTTGGTTTATAGCTACTGAAATTTCGCAAAATAAAAAATCTTTACTGGACAACTCCTTTATGTTACATTGTAACCACATTTTTTTTAATTCAATATACTGTAAGCAAATAAAATTCATCAAGAAGTTTTAATTGGTCTGTGGTTAATGTAGCCTGTAGGGGGCTTAAATGTTTGCAGTAATAATCAGTCATTGTTGAATCCATATAAATCATTAAAGAGCATAAATTTAGTTGCAGTGGAAAGATAAATATTTATTTCTGGAATACATTAACAACCTTTTTTTTCTAGGATCTGCTCAAGCTATAAACCACTAAGTGCAATTTCTAAAATACTTCATATTGAAAAACTTTTTTCTAGCCTCAGACACAGATGACGACTCTTGCGGCGCGTTCAATGGTAGTCAGAAATCAGCTTGCATGTCTCTCAATGTGCAACCTTCAATACTGTCCACAACACGTGAAAAATCGTCCAGTGCTTTATGTCTCGATAAATCTTGTAGTATGGTCACCCACACGCCAACACCAACGCAAGACATGGTCTCAAGTATAAGCACTACGGAACAACGAAACGACATATCCGCTCTACCAGATGTCACTTCCGGTATGTCAGGAATATCTATCGACGATGAAAATTATTATCAAAGTAGCATTTCGAAGTCACGTTCAGAAAATATCTTGCGTTCAGAACATAGTAACCCTATGAGACCTGTATGTAATAAACAGTCAGAAAAATCGGACTCAATTTATTATACGTCACAGCCTTCACAAGAAGTGACTCCAACTGGAAGTACCCCAAGGGTGAGATTAAACGATCCTTCATTAAGACTATCATTTGATTCGAGCAAATACAGGTCTCTGAAAGTAAATTTACCTGGTCAGGTGAAAGATGATAAAACGAGTTTATCGTTGGATTTTTGCGATTCAAACGAGACGAGTGCAGATTTTTTGACGCCGATTAATGAGATGCCCCCTCCCGGTTGTGAGATTGAAGACTTACCGAAACACAACGGTACTGAAAGTGTTGATAGCTTTAGTAATGACAACGATTTGGAGACACAGACTGAATCGGCTCCCAGGAAATTATTTACAGGTAAGTTAGTTTATACTGACATAGATGGTGGTACTTAGACTCGTGTAACTCATGAATGATTCATTCCACTGAACTGCTCATTTGCAGTGAACGAATTGAACTAGTTCAACTCTGTGGTGTATGTATTTTAGTTCTACAGTTCACCGGCTCATCGCTCCGGTTCTGATAGAGTAGGTACGAATTCGAGTTCAGCAGAGTTGCCGTGGTTTGTTTGTTGTTGCATTCACACACAGACTATTGTATAGCGCTTTCTTTGTCAAAATATAGTCGTCATTTTAAAAACCAAAATATGTTAGTCTTTATTTGTTCCTTTATTTGTTTAATTCAGAATAGCAATAAATTTGGTTTAAAAGTTGTTTATTTATGACAGTGAAACCCACTCTATGCAACAGAGATTATTTTGATATAAAAAAAAGGTTTATTATTACAATAAATATAAAAAGGTATATTTAAAGAAGGAAATTAATTATTTTAAATAAATTCGATTTTTAAGATAATTGTAAATCTATTCACTTTACTAAAATTGTCAATGCCTGAAGACTGAAGACGGGAAATCCAAATTTCTAAATCAATGAACTACGTTGATATATTCGTTCACAGTTTATGAACTCGTAGCCAAATAGCTGCAACTCACAGAGTTACAGAGCCAAATTAACTCTGCAACACAGAGTCACATGTGAACTGTGTTGTCCAAATCTAGTGGTAGTCCTAAAATGGTCCTCAGTCGAAATTTCAAGGGTAGCTTGGAATACTAGTGCCACTAAGGATTCCTTGTAGTTCGGCTGTAGATCATTCGATTTCAAGGTCAGAAGGGCTGTGGTGAAGGTGATTTCAGGGTGTCAATATAGTTACGTATTATTATATATATACAATGTATTTGCATTTGCATGATTTTGTGTGTGATATGAAAGATGTACAAAAAAATAATCATTGGATTTTGAAAACCCATAGTACAAGCTATACTTAGTATTTAAAATTAAAATGTAACATTATGGAGATAATATATGTGGCACTTAAGGTCCGTTGTGACTATAAATTCCTATTGTTTAGTTAATCTTTAAAAGAAAATCCCATAATGTTGGTGTTACGTAGTGTCAGCCATTGCACGACATATGATCGTTGACAGACGAGCCTCCCGAGACGCCGTGCGTGGCCAAGCGCGCGCTGCGCAGCCAGGTGCTGACGTCGACGCCGCAGCAGGCGCGCGCCAAGCCCGAGCTGTGCGAGTGCGGCGCCGACTGGCCGCACAGCGACGGCACCTACCGAGGGCTGGTGCAGCACAAGGATGGCACTGAACTGAGTAACTTTCTTTATTATGCTATACTACTACATACTATAAAACAATAATAACGCAGTGTAGAATTGTCTTATAGTTAAATATATTCCATATATTTATGTTATATTATAGCCAATTATATAAATGAGGTAGTTTATGGCACGTTGCTATAACATATATTATAATAATTTCATACATCTCACACACGATAGTCTGATCCCAAACTTAGCGGGGCCTATACTATGATAAATATAAAACAAAGCAAATAAAATTGTAAACACTACTTACTAGGTGGTAGGTAGTGTTTAAAAAGTTTTTAAGTTAAAAAAAACTAATAATAAGTTAAAAAAATCAACTTAAATCATAAATAAATTATTATTATTAAATGTCTGTGTATTAGCCAAATGCTGCGAAACTATAATCATTTATCACTTGCTGGTAAATAAGATACTCATAATATAATTGCTAACCGCAAATGATATATGGTTGTGTAGACGTGCTGTACACGGTGTCGAGTATGCAGCTGGGCACGGGGTCGCGCGTGCGCTGCGTGTGGCTGGGCGTGCAGCTCGACCACGCGCCGAGGCACACCACGCTCGCCTCCAGCCTCGCCTCCACTGCTGATAACTCGCTGGTTCTCGTCAGTACCCATTGCTTTGCTGTTCAACACTAATGTACCTTAAAGCCTCAATATTCAAACTCAACGCAGATTAATACTATGAAAGAGGAGAATAGTGAAAAAAAAAAAGTGGTAGTAATGGAAGTCACTATTACAAAACGGATATCCTTAAAGCTTCTTATCCCATATTCGTTTAATGGCATAGTTTTGAAAGTGTAAATGATTTTGAACCTTATTTAAATAAAATTAACTGTCACATTTGTTAGATGACTCCTAAACATACTGCGTCTGAGAGCCGATTAACGAAAAGTGAATGCTATAGATATTAAAATAAGTTTCTAAATATTGTTAACTTAGTTATTACTTGACTTAAGAGAGCATCTGTGCAGAGAGCTATTTTCGGTGGAGCTGTTTCTTTATTAAAATATAAGAATTTTCTCTAAAAGGGCAATAAGTCGGCCAGCAGTAGACCACAGTCCATGTCGTTGATGAGCCAATGTGGTGACGAGCAAGTTGCGGGTGAATACAACAAGTATTATGTTACCCTCAAGCAGATTGGTAAGTACACATTTTAAAATACAAAATATATAATATTAATATCACATCTCCAGATCACTAAACCAACAGCTCCGTTTTATTCATTTCATTATTTTCATGCTTATTTATTGACTACCGACAACTTTGTGCGTTGCAAATCCTCCTGGAGTTGTTAACGCTTCTTCAGTTATACCCGCCCCCCCTGCGATAAACCGTCTAACCAAACACGGTATTTAAGTCGGTAGATTACTAAGATTAAAACAAGAAGATTACCTTAAAGTAAGCTGAAATAAAGTGATGACCCTTGTGGGGAGTAAAAAGACAAAAAGTGTTAACTCTCAAACTTTTTTTAATGTTCACTTTTCAAATTTTCTAACTATTCCACATTTAGGTAAAGGCGCCTACGGTTGTGTAAAAATGGCGTATCGTCGCTCAGATCGATTGTTGACTGTCGCTAAGTTCATTTTGAAAGAGAAGGTGGGCACTCAGTTCTGGGTGGACGGCCCCGATGGACGCCGCGTGCCCCTAGAACTTAGTCTACTGCTCACTCTGAAACATCCGAACATCGTGAGTATGCCCGTGTTATATTTAGAGAATTTAGGACCTTTATTTATTTTGCAAATATATTAACAATAGCTGTTCTTCAATAAGTGAGGTTCACGTTCCTCCATCTCAGAAGTCTTCATGTGAGGCTTGATGTGAGGCTGATCTGGATATTGAACTGCATATGCCTCGTTTGGTCAGTTTTTAGTTTTGTCATATAGGCATTTTTTGAAGTGCTTCATTAATAAAAGCATATTTTTGTTATTTCCTTAACTATCCAGTTTATCGGTCGTCTTTATTTTGTTTTATTATAGGTTTTCCGTGTGGTGACGGATTAAAAATACGTGTCACCACCTCTATTCATCCCGTGGGTGTCGTAAGAGCAGACTATTGTTAAACCGCCGTAAGCTTGGCCCTCCTGATGGTTTGCGGGACGCGGGGCGGGTGATGCGCTCGGCTATACATGACACGATGTACTAACTCGATATCTTCAGATTTATTTGTTTGAGATTTAATCTACACACGATGTAATAAAAATCGAATTTATTTCCATGTATTATTATGTCAGTATATTGTAAGTTTTTATGATTAATTGTAAAATTTAATACTGTAAAATAATTTTAATAAAATCACCTTATCTTCATCATGTAAATTATATTCAGATACAATTTAAAAATTAAGTAAAATAATAAATATTCCTTATTAGAACTTTAACAGTAGAACCTCTGCAAGACGAACTTCAAGTTTTTAAATCTTTTTGTGACGCAGAGTCGGCAGATTATCCATGTTGCAAAATAATACCGTGTGTAACAGTCTTAAGAAAAATAACACGTACAGCCATGCTTTCACGTCGGTCACTGTCGGCGGACAGCGACGCACTAGCTAATTGGTTGAATGCACCCCCGCCCCGCGTCCCCCAAACCATCAGGAGGGCCAAGCTTACGGCGGTTTAACTATAAGGGAGCAAACTACGCAGGATAACAGCACTGTGAAGAGAAGGAAAACTTGAAACAATTCCATACTAACCCATCTGGCCAACGTGGTATAGTAGGCCAAAAACCTCCTTTCTGAGGAGAGATCTATGTCCAGCAGTGGACAGTTGAAGGCTGCTGATGATGATGATGATAGGTTTTAGTTTTCCAATTTCCTTTTTTTGTAAATCATACTACATAATGATTTACAAAAAAAAGGAAATTTTCTACACATAGCAAACATAGGACATAGCAAAGTGACTAACACAATATTTACATAATTGTAATGATTCTAGGTGAGCGTGGTAGACGCTTTCGAGAACGACAGATATTTTCAAATGGTGATGGAAAAGCATGGCGCCGGCATGGACTTGTTTGAATTCATTGAACGACGTCCACGACTTGACGAACCACTACTAAGCTATATATTTAGACAGGTAATTGATTCGATAGAAGTGTTATATTATATTGTTGCGATTATGTCTTTAAACCCTAAATTATTGTAATAATCCATGTGTATTCTAGATTATTTAGTATTTTAGATATCAGCACTTCCTTCTTTCTACGTGTGAAAACTTGTAAATGGCATCTCAAAAATTAACATCATATCTTTTTTGTAAGCTACCCAAATATAATAAAATAAAATAGTATACCTAACAATAGAATTTATTTTCAGATAGGCCAAGCGGTCGAATATCTCCACTCCCTAAATATACTGCATCGGGATATAAAAGACGAGAATGTGATCATTGACAATAAGTTTCACGTGAAACTGATCGACTTTGGTTCGGCAACGTTCATGAGCAAAGACACTCTATTCTCAACCTTCTATGGAACCACTGAGTACTGCAGCCCTGAAGTACTCGCCGGGAATAAGTAAGTAACTGCTTCGATACTATATTGCGTAACGATCTAATGCTGCTTCAAGACTATTCTAGTGCTTTTTTCTCAGACTTGCCTTTTGCCAGTTCGGCAGGATTTTTCTGAAGAAAAATAAATGATACAAATCTGTCTGGGGGGCCTAAACGCAAAGCACTCAAGGCAATTCCAAAATGGAAAGTAGCCAAATTAAACTTAATAACAGCAAATAAAAATATAGATATATCATATCATAGCGGCCTCTCTAATCATAGCCTCTTCGAGCTACCACAGTCTGAGTCCTGTTCCGTCATCCGAGTCTTGCGATGTAGCTTAAATCTCCTTATTCTTCTTACTGTTTCCCCTCAGAAGACGATTACATTCGTTAGGATGGTTGGATTTAGGCAGACGCCCGGTCATAAAAGAAACCAACTACTTAACATTCTTTGCAATGCTACCTTTAGTAAAAAAAAAATAAGAAGATTACTGGAAGATAAAATAGACTAAGAATAAGCTCGTATATTGTTTGTATTGGTGTATTCAAAACATGACATTTATGTCCATAGAAGAATATAGGTATTCGTAAATAATTATGACCTGACCTGAAACCTGCATTGCAAGGAAAGTCGTGCTTATACCTTCTTTTTTCTTTTTTAGATATGCTGGACCAGAATTAGAGATGTGGTCAATGGGAATAACTTTGTATGTGCTGACATTCTTTGTTAACCCATTCTCGGACATTGAGGATACTATACAAGGACCTCTAGCTTTCCCACAAGTTGTTTCTGAAGGTAAATAATATTAACAGTGTAAAATTATATATTACATAAATGAACCTTTATATGTTGCTCTAGTCATAGATTTGAATTTTTTTCTCCGTCACATTGTGGAAACGTACAACACACACCTTACCGATGTTGACATTTTCGAACAGTCGCATTCAAAATTGCAGCAACACAAATCTTTAAAACTTCGCATTAATCATTAATTGCCACAATCTATATAAAATAAAATAAAAATTGTAAAATACGCACGATTGTTGTGGTTGTGGGTTGCACGTTCACTCAATAGATTATTTAACCAAATTTTAAAATAGCTATTACTATACTATACTAATAGTTATTACAAATGTAACTGTTAAATGTTCCATTAAACAAAAACAAATAGATTTAACCATACTTTTTACTTACTCGATAACTTTCTTTAGATTTGGAACAACTTCTACGTTGGATTCTTTGCAAGGAACCAGCGAACAGATGTACTGTATCTCAACTTATGGCACACCCATGGATCAGACAAACGGTCGTGATCGCCAATTACGTGTTCCACGAGATAGTCGACTGTGGTAAGTACAGCACCCTTTACAAATACAAAATAAATACACGGAGTATATATACATATTTAATAGTTAATGAAAGGAATAAAAAGAGATAAATCACCCGATCACGACGGCTGACTCGCGGCGACTTAATAGAACGTATAGAACTAAACGGTTTAGTGCAGCGTGCCCGCGACTGACGACTAGTGGTCACGCGACTTGCAGCACCGACCAATCGCCAGAGTCGGATTGCGACTGCGGAGCGCAACTTTTTTGTTATCTATTTTATTATAATAATGGATGCTAGTGATTGTATCCTCGCCTGCTTCTTATCCTCTTGGTGATCCGAATCCCTAAAACAGAATTTTCCAACATTAAAAGTTCTGGTACTATATCAATTTTCGCTCTAAGTACTCTTCTAACAATAAGTATGTTCAGTGCTAACTCCAAAAACGGTAACTAAATTATGAATTGTCATCGATCGACCGCAAGTAGACGCCCGCCCGCTGCACTGTTTTTGCGACCAAAGTCGCGCAACATTGCTGACATTCGGCACTAGTTGTTAATGTTAACATGGGATAATAATTATGTAATTTTATACAATAGCAGTTCAAGTTATAATTGCCAATGTATATAATCTAAAATTAATCAGTTTGTAATAGTTTCTTCAATGTATTATATTTTAGATGTGTACAAATTTGTTTCACTTGTTTTTAATTTCAAATAAAAAAAAATGTATTTAAAAAAAGAACTTAAAATAGATTGAAAGTTTTAATATTTACTGGTTTACCGGTTCGTTTACCGTTTCCTTTCAGATCGACATGAAGCGAATCCTGAAATGTATTTCAGTGGAAGTCTCGAATCTCCACGTAGCGGGTCACCCGTATCAATGGCTGATGCTATCGTTAAAGGTAGGTGAATTTACTACGTCAAAATTCTGAAGTATAGAATTTTTTAGTTTCGAAGTAAGACAAGGCCTTATACTTGCCCCGGATAATTTCGTCGTTAAAATTTAATTCTTAATATTTTTATTAAAAACTTGACCTCGCTTATTTATCTATATCTAATGTCTATTATTAAAAAAAAAAAACTTCGTTATCATTTCTGTATGTAGCCCCCTTAAAAAAGCTTTTAAATACAATGTAATGTTATATACATCTATGACATTCAAGGTACTTAAGGCAAGCACCATGACGAGTGTGTTGATGTTAAATTACATGTATATTTATTCATAAGAATTAGGAGTTATTCACAAGATTGAGTAACTATTAAAATGTAACGATGTTGTAGAGCGCTCCAACCCGTCGGAGGTGGCGATCCGCTCGGACGGCAAGAACGTGTCGCGCGACGAGCCCAAGCGCAGCTCGCTGCTGCACGCGCTGTCCACCGCCGACCGGGACGCGCAGTCCGACAACTACAGCCTGCGCTCGTCTGCTGACGTACGACTCTTGTCTTATATTGTAGCTCTCTATTGTTAGCGCTCTATTATTCATTAACAAAGATGCAGTATCATCGTTATATCGTTTACTTAAATTACTTGTATGCTTAAAATGTTAACCAATGTAAATAACTTTATCATAAAGCATCTTTATAAAACCAATTTGTTTTCCGTTTTTTTTTATTTATTCTTTCATAGTGTAAACATATTAATGAGGTAATTTTAATATACATAGCATTTCCTAAGCCAGCAAGGAACAAAACCTTGTCAAAACTTTTTTAACAAGGTCAAATTTTGTTGATTACATGACAATAAGTACTGAAAACTCAAAAGAGTCGCTGACAAAAACAAATATAATTTGACCTTAACAATAATTTATTTTATTTTATCGTCAAATCCTCAACCTTAAAATGATATAGCACAAAACGTCTTGTGAACGCTCAACTTCAGTATGATTATAGTTTAATAAAATACTATTTTCTATATGCTATTTTCAGATATTAGACATATCTTCGAAACCGGTATCAGAAGCAGCCCTGACAGACATCAGTTCGGACGCGACGGGCCACGCCGCCTGCGACATCGACTACGACTGCGACCAGTACGAGTGCGACAGCTGGGACGAGTGTGAACAGGACAGCTTCTCTTAAGTACTATATCCACACACATCATCGGCATCAAGTGGTGCCTGTATTTTTCATAACGGTCCATCAATTCTGAGCTATACGATTTTTTATAGCGAATGAGATGCAGGACATACTTATAAACTACGAATATTTTGAGACAAGTCTAAAACCATAGACTATGTTTGCGAATAGCTTAAAGAGGCCTCAAAAAGCAAGAAAAGTACTGCGACAAAGCTGAATTGTCTACAAACTTCGATCATATTTACCATAAATGTTTTGACAATAAAAGAATGTACTTAGGTCAGTTATTTGCAGTTTTGCTTTAAGTGTAAAGTACAAAAAGTAATAATATCTATATATAGAACAAATCGACGCAGGACATCAAGTATGATAGGCATGTGGTTAGTGATCCCAACTTCTGAGCAAAAGGTTTTGGGTTCGATTCCTTACTAAGACAAATAACTCTAAATGAGCACAATCTTTCTATCTATGTCTTGGTGTATAATAAGTATGTGTGGAGGAACGGGTGTCATATCCCTCCAACACAAAGGGAAGATCCTCTGACCAGGCGAGGTGATCATGTCTGGTGGGCCGTGGCGAGATTTTAAGAAATATATAAGTATGTTTATCAGCAGTATTGTTACCGTAGTACAGGCTCCGTCTAGTCTAGGCTGCCATGCCTGTCTGTCTGATGTGTTTGAGTACCCTTTGCGATCGTAAGAACACGTAGCACGAGTCTAATACCGTGGCAGTAAGTAATTAACTATCGACATTATAAGTTTTCTGTCAAAATATTTTGACAATATAACAGAAAGATCGATTGAATTGGTCGTTACTAATAGCATGGCTTATTAAATACAAGCACGCAAAGTATGTAGTATGACTTTTGCCTCTATTTGACAGGTTTTTTATGAGGGAGCGAATATTTTTTATCGAAGTCTACCATTGACGCGGTTTGATAGACTACAGTCATGATAATATTAGTTGTTTGGAAGTAATTGCATCTCAATGATTGAAGCTAAACCTCCATCTATGTATCAATAATAACCGATACAGAGTATCTAGTATAGATTTAGAAGTCAAGGATTATCATCGGAAATGAATTTATGATCATAAACCTATCATTAGTATGGATTAGTCATTAACATAAGGCATTATAAATTAGTAAATTTAAAGTTAGTTTTTATTGTTTTAAGCATTAAAAAGTAAAAATTATTTAAGTAAGAAATATGCGTTAATTGTAATTTATACTTCACGCTATTTGATTTTTTGACGGCAGACTTGAAGGTTTGAAAGTCGTATCGGTCCGGAATTCCGACTAGTGAATGTTTTTCGTGCAACAACAAATTTGTTTACGTTAAATTGGATTGTTTTCTAACTAAACCAGTATTTTATGCAGCACATGATTGAAGATCTCCAAGTATTCATTAGTTTATTTGTAACCAGGGACTTTTTTACTAACAAGAATCTTATCTATTATATAACATAATGTATGTAATAGTAAGATGGTAAAAGTAGTCCCAATTTATCTCTTAGAGGCAGCCACCTTCACAACAATACTATGAGAAATAAGACATGTATCGATATAAATATATTAAAATAAGTAAATGTATGTATATTAAAACCCTTAAATTATCCTGCAAAGTGAACAACTGGTATACACTTTTAAGTTTTGCCTTTAATGTAAAACAAATATTAAAATGTACTTTGCATTTGAAAACGATATCCTAGTTACTTTAATATAGATTAAGAACCGCTGCAACACTAGTTTATAAACACTTTTGTGAACACAAATCTTTCGTGTAATACCAAAACTAATCTTGTTTATATACAAAACAGCAGATTGAACCGTCTTTTAATCAATTTTGTCATTAAGTTATTTATATTTACAAACTATGAGTATTTAAATATCAAATACAGTATTGTCTTCCCACTGTTATAACTAAAATTTCAATATATAAAGATTACGTTACTTTTTCAGTGTTATTTTTAATATATTTGCCAAATCTGTTGTGATAACATATAGACATGTTGACATATTGATCTTAGAAAAAGCACTGTTAGGCTAAGTTATTTATTCTTGCAGCCATTTAGTGCAACTTTCTAAAATAAGTATTATTATACATAATGTAAATTTTGCCAAACTGAAATTAATTTATAAATCATTCCTGCAGGAAAACATTAGCGTAAGAAGATTTTTTCTTTTATTTAAAAGAAGACAACGTTTCTTCCAACAAACGAGTTTAATGGACTTTTAAACTAAAAGGAAGTTAGTTTTTACATAATCTAAATTCAAACAGCGCCATCTATAAAAGAGGTTCCTCGAAACCTATATTTCCGTCCTGCTCAATGCATATTTCATTCAATTGGGGCAAAGTTTTTCCTGTAATAAACATAGCAATAAGATAGATTTTTCTACATTCATAGTTACGAAATCAATTATCTTGAATAGGGAAATGGACCCAATGAAATAATTAACAATAGTTGAAAGTGGCCATTCTGTTAGTACGTCAAATTAAATAAATAAATTTTCGTATATACCTAATTTGTGGAAGCATACGCAAATGTTTTCCTAAATGAGGGAACTGTCGGCCTTGTATACACATGAGGGGTTAGCCAAGATCCGTCTGCATGTGTATATAATTGATTGACTATGGGATCCATGTATCCTGTGACGCTCGTACTCTATGATGAGTTTCTTAAACAATGACCGTTAATTTAACTAACCACAAGGGGTGTATTAATGTTCTATTAAAACAGAACTTTATTATTCTATTGTCGCAGTTGATATCTATGTAAGAAGTATATTAAAATTACTGTCATGATAAAGTGTAACAATGTAATGAAGTTATACAATCAACTGATCTGTACTTATTTACTTTTACACCCCTTAGTAAATATTTTAACAATTGTAATTTTTAATTTTATTAAATTAATTATTTTATTTTATTATTAGACCTTTGTTCCTTTCGATTATTGAATCACTTAACGGCTCAGCTTAATTTTTAATATTATTAATTTATTATACACACTAGTAGGCACTAGTTGCACAACTCAAGTTGCATGCAAGGCTAAATAAATACAAAATGTTTGTGTACATCTGCAATACGTCTATCTTTTTGTGAATAAAAATAATACAAATAATACATAAGGATTAAAGGTAAATTAAGAAATATTGTGCACCAATATAATCTTTATGAATTAATAATCATAATAGTACATTACCATATTATTATCTGGTGACATTGCAATGAATTTTTATTGCAAATCTATATGCCTTTTAACATTTTGCAAAAGCGTCACCACTAGGAATAACATTTCATTGTTATATACCAAAATTTTATCACTAATTTATTATTAAAAATCAGTATTAGGACAATACCTTAGATCTTTCTGACTGGCTTGATGTTAATCCTAATATAGTTTTAGTGTAAAAAAACTATTGAAAGAACCAAAGTTACTTTATTTAATTCATTGTAAATACCATTAAGTTAAAATCAACATATCATCTACATTGGGTTCAAATAAAATAAATTTGAAAGATGCACATGAGATTTGCTGTAATATAAAGTTAATTTTATGTGTCCTCTTTTGTGTAGAACAGTATTTAACTGATATAGTAAGGATTATATTTTTGTAGTGTTGGAATATAATTGTTTTATGTCAACCATTCGTACTAGTTATTTATTGTCCGGTGCGTCCGTTTCTTACTTAGTGCCTTATGACGGACGGCGGTTACTTTGCTCGAGTAGGACGCTGTAACCATTCATCGTAAATAAACTACATGAACTCCCAATCATTCGTTTTATTTATATAATGTCATTGAAACCACTCGACTGAGAGAATACAGGAGATCAGTTAAAGCAGAAAAGCTTGCTTCTCAGTGCGTGCTAGAAGTATCTAGCTTGCAACCAGCTTCGATCTACAAAAGAAGTAATTATAACAATCGGGACCGTGTAAGTTTAAAAGTCTAGTATTAGATCTCTCTCTAGATCTAGAAAACAAGTAAGTAGTCTTTTGCTACCTACTTATGATTTTGAATGTACTTCCCTGTACCGTAAATTATAAATTTTACAACTATACTGAAACTTCATCTTGCCCCCAAGGAGCGGGTGTAGGTTTCTTAAAAATACACATTCATTGTGGATCACATGGAAACATTATTACTTAACATCCTAATCCTGGCGAAAATGTTCTAAACACGAGCCTTTTCATAAAAGGTAATCTACCATTGTATTTTTATAGATTGCAATACCAATGCGAAAATGTCAAATTATATGGTGGTGCGTCGCTTTTTTGCCAATCATTGCCGCATTAGAGCAAATTCAAACGTATTTACTGTGAAACAACGGAAATTATTTACTTCCGCAAAAGCAATAACAACAAATCATTTCGTTACCAACAAAAATATATTGGTAAGAATTTTCAATGTTTACATTGTTCACTTGAACACAATATGGGACTAATTTCAAAGTAACAATTTGAATTTGTATTCATTTGTACAGAAATATGTGTTATAAAACATTTTATTTATTTAACGCACGTAGTTTAGCTCATAATTAAAAAGATATTGCTAGAATGAAAAGTAACCTAAAATAGTTTGTATTTAAGAATTGTTCCCGTATTGTCGCGTCAACTCTAATAAGTGCCATATCCGACACGTACGTTAAGTTATTTTAGACCTTATTGCCTTGGAGATAAATTTTGCGTATGTTGTGACACTATCTTTATTATGGTCATTGTAGAAACGTTTATCTACTTGTTGATGCCCCTATTGGAAGTCCAATTTGAATCTAATTTAAAGTATGTTGAACATGGATTGATAAGTTGAAATAGATTCTATTATTATGACACTATATGATGCCTAATTGAAAGTTTTGTAAGAACAGTAAATGTATGTTGGAACTTATAACCAAGTGTGTTCTGTCTCAGAATCATTATTCACACTTTCTAAAGTGTTGTACTATTCTTGTCACTTGTTGCCTACTTTCACTAGATCATTACTATGTTATATATTGAAGTAAAATATTTTGATTACACTCTATCTTTAATATTGAGAGAAGAACACTATTTTAAATATTTTTTATTACAATAAAAACCATTATGTAGGGGAAACTATTTTAAAAGTATAATTCTTTGTTTACATTTATGTACCCACAATTAACAACACAAAACAAACTTTTCAATTGGACACCAACTTTCATATTAAAACACATTTTTACAACAATTTAAAAATAAAATTTAGTTCTTTTTTGTAGAAAAGCTGCTGTTTTTTGTAACCATCTTTGAAATCAGCTGGTTGTTCTTTTTAAATTATTGTACTAGTTGGTTTGGCAAATTTTTTAAAAACTTTATTCTGTACTAAGGTAGAAGTAAGTTTATAGGTAGTATTCAACTATATTTATGAACAAATCATATGCATCATCATCATAGCCTTATATACAAATTAATTACATTAATTTGCCTTCGGTAAATGTTCGGTTTGCCAAAGGTAAATATAGGGCAAGTGTAAAGCAGAAAATATCTCATCTGAGCTAAAAAGACTTCTTGTATGGTGGAGCTGCTGTATAGGAGTTGTACCGTAAACAATAGAGGAATGATAGCTATTACTGCCCTACAACCAACAATGGTTTATTGATCTTATCCACACCTTCAGTCTGCCCATTGAACCACTTGCTTAAATTTGCTCCGACTCAGGTTTTTCGGAATTTGGATCACCTTTTAGGTATGTAAAAGTGTTTAAATCCAATGATGGGAGAAAGTTTGCTATTTTGCCTCAATTACTTTGCAGGTTTTTTAATAATACCAATAAAATCGTGTACGAAAGGAAAAGGTCCCCAATACAATTAAAAAATGTATGAAACAGCCGACAAAGCCGTCATGCTCGTTAGGTCTGGGTCTTTTTTTTTGGTATAGGGGACAAACGAACAGACGTCACTTGAAGGCCAATTCTTGTCATAAAATTTCGATCATAATTCAGTTCCGATCAACTCTCGATCTCACAGCTGTCATAAAGGTATTTTCGTAGTAAAGTATTAAACATCCAACGTTGACTGTAATGTGATTATATCGTATCGTAACCAAAAATTGAATCGGCAATCTGATCATCTTAGTACTTTACCTTTTTACTACGAAAATATCTCTTATGTCAGTTGCCAGATCGAGAGTTGATCGGAAATGAATTTTGACCGAACTTTTATTACGAGAATTGACCTTCTGGTACTCGTCTACTTTTCAGAAGGCCAATTCTCGTAATAAAAGTTAAAATCAAAGGCATAATGTAAAATCTATTAAATGCCAAATCTGTACATATAGATATGTAGGCAAGTAATCAGTTGCTATTCAGAACCAGGCAAATTTATCTCATATTTACTCGAGTTATCACGTACTAGACGTAATACATTGTTATAAACTGATAATAATACTGTCGTAAACCCACATAATATATGTTTCATTGTAATATTCACTCATAGCGCACGTCCGATTAAAGAATACAGAAGCTAAATATATTACTTTCACCAGTCTCGTAACATCATAACGTAAGTTTCAAATAATTAACATTCGTATACATTCAAACGGTTTATATGTATTTATTTGGTGTATTTTGTATCAATAGTAAATTATTAACTAGAATCATTTAATTTGAGGTGTATTTAGTAACCGTACGTTGGTTTCACATTGAGTCTCGTTTAACCATAGTCAGTCAGTCGCATCATTGAACTTAATGCAGCCGAAATAGACATGGAAATTATTGCTCCTTTTAAATCATATTCTTATGATAAAATGCTTGGTTAGCTCACAGCGATTTCACATGTTCCAATTCGATTAAAAATGGTTTTTCTAAAATCCGTAGTACTCTCTGTTAGTTTTCGTTGCCTCTTTTTCCACAAACTTAGGAATTGGTTAGATCAAAGGTCTGTAGTAGTTGGGTAAGTGTTTATAGGTCGACTCTCTTTGCAATGAGAATCTTACTTATCATATTAGTACAGATACAGTATAGTCTACTTGACCGAAGTATTGGCTTATTTTAGGCCTTATGAAATCTTGTATCATGATTAATTATTATTCAGTTTTTCTCTCAAAGAGATGAACGGCCTCACTTTATCTGTTTTTGGTTGGGAAGGGACAAATCACCGACGCGGTATCAACTCTGATCTGTGAATAGAGGGTCTAGCGACGCTGAAAACACGTAATTCGCGCATGTGCTTAAAGAAAACTGCGTTTTTTTGTTTAGTAAACTCACATACACATCTCCACATCTCCAATCCATAATTGCCTATGAATCGCATCTTATGATAGGTTTAATGTCAAAAACATAAACGTGGTATTCTATTTCTTCAAACTTTATTCAAAATAAAAAACTTACTTCTGTTTTTGAAACGATAATAAAAATAATAGTTTTTAATGTAGTAATTATCATTATATGTACCCTACAAAATAATGGTTTATTGAGTTAATATATTATACTAGCTGAACCGCCCAACTTCGTCTGCTTCTCGCAAAAGGAATAAATTTTGTCCGTTTTCGCAACTTTTATCATTGGTTCCTACTGGTCGTATCATCATAACGTAAGTTTCAAATAATTAACATTCGTATACATTCAAACGGTTTATATGTATTTATTTGGTGTATTTTGTATCAATAGTAAATTATTAACTAGAATCATTTAATTTGAGGTGTATTTAGTAACCGTACGTTGGTTTCACATTGAGTCTCGTTTAACCATAGTCAGTCAGTCGCATCATTGAACTTAATGCAGCCGAAATAGACATGGAAATTATTGCTCCTTTTAAATCATATTCTTATGATAAAATGCTTGGTTAGCTCACAGCGATTTCACATGTTCCAATTCGATTAAAAATGGTTTTTCTAAAATCCGTAGTACTCTCTGTTAGTTTTCGTTGCCTCTTTTTCCACAAACTTAGGAATTGGTTAGATCAAAGGTCTGAGAGGGCGAACACAGTGGCATATATTAATTAGTACTACTCTAAAACTAGTCAATCCGAAATCTAGGTTTACCAAAGTAAATAAGAAAATAAATCCACTCACAAAATTTATGGTACTGAAAGCAATATTATCAGAAAAGTAAGACAAAGTGCCTATTAACTAGATCCTCATTTAGCAATTTATATAAAAATTTATTAGTCGCGTTACTAATAAAAATAAATAAAAATCAGAATAATGATAGACAGTGCAAAAACAAAGGTGTATCGAGTAATAAAGACTACTATAGGTATTTAATGAACATAGCGACAACAACAATCCTACACACCTTACTGCTACTTATTCCTTACATTAGGTCAACTTACTAAGGTGGTCAATCTTTACTTTCTTAAAGCATAAAAAAAATCAACGCTATATTTCGTTAATAAAAAAAACTAAATTGTTAAATGACTTGATGATGCTCGTCAAGAAAATCAATAACGACTCATCCAAGAAAAAAAAAATTTGTACCAGGAACAAGCATGCAGTGGACAGGTTAGTTACAAAACATCGCAAGGATCGACACATCTTGATGTCTTTGTCCGGCGACTAGTGAAACCAGCTGCATGAACTGCGATTAGTAGGGTAAAGTAATTGACATACTGCTTTATCCAGAGTTTATTATCGGCACTCCCGCCCTTTTAGAAGTACTTTTATCCTACAACTCTCTTCACGCACCAGGAACAGAACTTTAAATAAATGAACTTTTCTTTTTCTGCACGCTGTCAGCCCAGCCAAAAAAAGTGTTATGGTTTTTCATGGGTTTGCTAAAAATGTAACAGTGAAGTCCGTTTAAGTATAATGTAGTATCCGCACGAAAGCGGATACTTATTATCCTGTATAATTCAAAAGAAAGTAAACAGTTATAACATTGATTTCATTTATTTCAAAACATATACGATATAACGTACTGTTGTATGATGTGTGAAAACGATTTGTTCAGAAATAGTTTGGTACTAGTTAATAGATAAGGGGCATCTTGCATTGTGTTTTACAGCGTTAAACGATTGCAAGACTAATATTATTGGTATTTATATAATTTCTCTACGATGACGTTACTTATTACTTACTTCACTGCATTTTTATGGATATCTGGGCAAATGCCTATGATTATAATGAATATTTCGCCAAGTCGGGCAATAAACTACTTAAGGCGTGACGTCGCGCCATGATATTTCGTAAAAGAATGTAACAACCCTACAGTTTTTAAGAATACCAAAAGATACTTATATGATTACATAGCCAACTACCCTATCGCATTCGGCATTTGCCTTTTATCTCAGCTCATGGAAAGTAATACGAACTGATGTGATACCGAAAGAAACTTATTCACTCTACTCTTGAACATCCTAGGACCATTTGTCAGAAAAAATAGACAGATGCAGTTTATTTCAGACTTTCGCGACTTGAACCTAAAGTAGTTGGGTAAGTGTTTATAGGTCGACTCTCTTTGCAATGAGAATCTTACTTATCATATTAGTACAGATACAGTATAGTCTACTTGACCGAAGTATTGGCTTATTTTAGGCCTTATGAAATCTTGTATCATGATTAATTATTATTCAGTTTTTCTCTCAAAGAGATGAACGGCCTCACTTTATCTGTTTTTGGTTGGGAAGGGACAAATCACCGACGCGGTATCAACTCTGATCTGTGAATAGAGGGTCTAGCGACGCTGAAAACACGTAATTCGCGCATGTGCTTAAAGAAAACTGCGTTTTTTTTGTTTAGTAAACTCACATACACATCTCCACATCTCCAATCCATAATTGCCTATGAATCGCATCTTATGATAGGTTTAATGTCAAAAACATAAACGTGGTATTCTATTTCTTCAAACTTTATTCAAAATAAAAAACTTACTTCTGTTTTTGAAACGATAATAAAAATAATAGTTTTTAATGTAGTAATTATCATTATATGTACCCTACAAAATAATGGTTTATTGAGTTAATATATTATACTAGCTGAACCGCCCAACTTCGTCTGCTTCTCGCAAAAGGAATAAATTTTGTCCGTTTTCGCAACTTTTATCATTGGTTCCTACTGGTCGTAGCATGATGTTGTATAGCAGCCTATATCCTTCCTCGATAAAAGGGCTTTCAAAGATTTTTTCAATTCAATTCCTAAGATTACCAAGAAAATACGAACTCACAAACTTTACCTCTTTAGAGTAACTGTTGTGTTCCCATGGATCCCTAATATGTATCCAAAAAAGTGAAAATCGTTATTCAAATAAATATAATCTTCGTAGTCTTGCAAAATTATGAAGAGATTTATATAATAAAATATAATCATAGGAACTAACGTGACATCAGAAGCTGCCTTTCCACAAGTGTGAACGAGATCAAGATTAAGCTTCGAAAGCTTTGCCGTGTTACGATATAACTTGACATACACTCTTTGCTCATATTTTCACATAATCCATTTTTATACATCGAAATGACGCGCCCTTCATTTGATTGATACATGGATGCTAATTTACAAAAAAAAGTTTATTACGTTTTTATTGAAAGAACTTCAACGAATATGTAAAAGCTTAGTAACCCAACATCTCTTCGCGCAAAAGTAATCATAGTAGTAGGTATAATATCTTCTATCACGTATTATACAAAGCAAAAGAATAATTTAAGTAACCAGATGAGCTTTTTGAACAAACCTCTTTGGTGTCTTAGCAACTGCTCCGGTCAGTTGTTTACAGTGAAAATAAAATCATCAACGTCAATATCGACAGAATCACGGCAAAGATGAAGGAACTATCGACTGCGCCAACTCCGACAAACGAGTCTATCAACACGGTTGGTTGCTTCCGAATAGTTTGAATGTTACGATGCTATTACGATATAAGACGTTTGTTTCCCCAAAGCCGTTCAGTCTGTATCGAGTGGTAGCGCGCACAAGGTTCGCCATGCGCGTTTTTGAATATGTATGTGTTGTGTCAGTGTGTGCATTGTTACAGTGCGCGCACGCATCTACGTCGTTGACCCCCCAGAAAATGGTCTTCAAATACCCAGAGGTGAGGAGAGACGAGACCGTCGTCGACGACTACCATGGTACCAAGGTATTTGTTGCATTATTTATATTAGAATAAATACATTTACATACTAAGAGCAATAAGTAATGAAGTTTACATAAAGGAAAACCTTAAGATAACTTAAAGGTATTTTAATAGGGTATTAGCTGTCAGTAGTGTAAACCATAATAAGCGATTTAATTGAAACCGGTTAAAATATTATTATGTTAAATATACACACACCTATAATTATGTTTTAATTTCTAACATATGTACCTACCGTACCACCTGTGAAAATTACCGCATTCAAGTACCTGTTTTGTAAATTGCGTATTAGTTTAGTGATTTATATTCTCTAATATCCTAATATGTAACTAGCTTTTACCTGAGACTCTCGCGTAAATATAGATTTTATAAATCAATCAAGGTATTCCCCAAGAACAGGACTTTTTCTGAATTAAAGGTTTCTATGTCCTTTTTCAAGACTTGGCGTAACAAACAAGCTCACATTCGCGTTCATAATATTAAGTTAGGTATCTCTACAATTTTATTATAAAACCCAATTATTTTATAGCGATGGTAATTACTTGGAATTACGCATGACTTATTCCGGTTTTGTCTTATAACATTATAACTAACGCAAACGCGTTACTTTGTATTACGTCTACGATACAGTTATTATTATTTTATATTTCTATAATTATAATAATACTAATTCAGTGTACGTGGTTTACAATATTTAAAACACGACATGTACATTTAGATGGCATGCAAATATTTAAGATGTCACAGATAAAATTATGAAAACAAAACTACATAAAAACATATTACATACAAATACATCATATTACAATTGAGTTATTAAAAACCATATTAAAAACATTTACTACACTAATGCATTTCTGAAGTGATATGAATAAGTGGGTTACTTTAAAAAGAAACGTAGATGGAGTAAAAGCACTCTGCTACTAGCCAAATTTTTAATGTAGCACACCATTTGTGATAAGGAAGAGTTGCAATATTCTCCGGCAATGCGTTATAAATATGTGGTGCCAAATACAGCAAACTGAAAATTGCTAGACTAGGTACTGGGAATTTCCCTGGGGTAGGGCCTGTCAAGGCATAGTGTCAATTCGGGGAGGACCTGAAATAGCCCTCCCAGAGTAGGGCACCTGAGGCCGGCCGTCGGGGTGGTTTTTAGTGGAATCACCACATACTCCTAGCTCCTGAGTCCCCGAGGAACAGGAGATCCGAAGGGATTTTCCACTCCATCAAAAAAAAATAAAGGTACTAGGAATTTAAAATATGAGTGAGTATTTTTACATTTGTTGTTACACACCTTTTTTTAGTCCTTAAGTTCAAACAGCTCTTTATTGCACTTCACTAATCCATTAGTGTGCGATTCGTAACATTTTTTTAGTTTACATCTAGACTAGACAGCTCTATGTAATATGGCTTGCAATATTATCATATATAAATTCGGTTAACAATATCTACGTTTTCTATTCAGATTATATCACAACAAAGGAGCTATAAAATTTAAAAGGCGATCCTAAATGGTTTGATTACCTTAAAAAGTGCACTTTTTTTACTTTGCTGCTTAGGTTCATACCGTGATGTAAAATAGCCTTTAACCTTCCTCACATCACATCACATCAACAACCTTTAATAGTCCACTTCTATTAGAAAGGAGGTTTTGGCCTACTACACCACGCTAGCCAGATGGATTGGTATAGAGTTTGTGTCAAGTTTTCCTTCTCTTTGCAGTGTTGTTCTCCTGCGTAGTTTGTTCCCTTAGTCGACTCTTACGACACCCACGGGATAAATAAGAGTGGCGAAACTCCGTATTCTTAATCCGTCACCACACGGACGACTGGATAGAACCTATTTCAGTTATCTATAAATATATCTAAAACATGTTAAGCTGTTTTGTGTACGCTTCAAAACCTCAAAAAGTTCTGCACCGATTAAGCTCAAATTTTGTCACTGTATACAACCCGCTCCAAAGATTTTTTTTTATCTATTTTCAGTCGGTATCCGTTTTATTCCTCATTTCTCATCAATACAACCACAACGTGCCACAGTGATGTGTGACAAGGGTACAGTTAGTTGGTTATAAAATCCGAAGGAATTTTTCAAATCTCATTAGCAGTTGCAGAGATTGTTACGTTCAACCAAAAATGTAATCTTCAGCTTTACGTTCGTATAGATTAACAAGATACGACGCGATAAATGATGTGATTACACATAAATTATTAGGAACCTGCATAGAACCGGCTCAATAATAAACTTTTTTTTTTAATGGAAGACATGGAACAAGTTTTGGGACTACTTGTTTTATAATATGAAGCCAGATACAGTAAACAAATCTATCAAATCATTCAGTTACTGATGAGTCTGTCACTTGTACACAGATATGTAAGTACCTAATAGAGCATAGGATTAATTGTTAAGAAGCGGAGACTAATTAGCTTATTGGACGTACCAGCAAAAACGTAATAAGCGCTATGACACGGTCACGTCCCTTTCCCACCTTTAATTATATGAAACGGTCACAAGCGTTTCATAATAAGAAAAAAAAAATTGTAAGATAATGAAGAGAATTCATGTAATCACGTAACAGGTATCACATACCATTGAATTGCCTGATGTTTTGACCAGGTTTCTATAGCATTGGTCATAGATCGACTCTGTGTACGAGTTCCGAAATGGTTTTATTATAATATTAACTAGTTATGTGACGTAGTTCAATTTTTTTTGTGGGACAATATAATTCATATGATGAATATCATTTTCGAGCAAAAAGTCTGGCGGTCGGGCAATATTTAGTAGAGCTTGTGAATCTTAGTCGTGGATACGGACAGTAATTATCAACAATAGTGTAGAGGCAAAACAACTAAGTAACATTTCTTAACTCATCTTCTGGTTTGGTCAAGATGAAGGGTGGTGATTCACGAGGGTAAAACAAAAACGTCATGTCCGTTGCGTTACGTTTAATGAATAACAAAACGGGTTGACTGAAGCAAAGAATTCCCATGGGTGGACCCTCACTAGCGTTGTACTTCAGGGCAACAAAGTTATTTGATATTCTATAGAGATACATCTTTAGTAAGACGGTTCAAGATTGACGAAGATTCCGATATGAGTAGAGCATATCGAAATCTTCGTCAATCTTGAACTTTGGTACATCGGTTTAAGTGGATTTCAACTGCTCCAAAGTAACACATTTTTTTGTAAAAAGACCGCCCGCGTGTATGTATGTTAGTTATCGCTTACACGTTTTACGTTTGTAATATAAGTATGGTGATGAGTGGGATGGAAGGACTCTTGATATTCGCTAGCGACCAATGAAAATGAGCCTTACAAACTTTAATTTTCTCCGTGTCAACTAAAAGATTGAGTTTTAAGATTCCATTTGTATTTTATTCAATTTGATTTTTAAGCGGTGTGCAAGATTTAGGGAGTGGGTACCATAATAAGTAAAAGTAAATACCATAATACACAAATGACAAATGCTTCTCTCTCATGAGTCACTAGACAGGGGCGCTATCATCTTTTCAGCAGCCTTGTGCCACGTTATCTTACCCACCATCAGACCGTCTGGATGTTTCCAACATGGCGACAAGAAAGATTACCACTATACTTTCCACTGTTGACCAGAGTTACAGACTCTGTCGATGTTTTATGCCTGAGCCTTTTGTTACATAACATTTTAAACATACCTAATACTTATTTGGTCGGTTGCTCTCACGGGATAATGCTCTATACTTATAACAGGAATACTTAAACAATCAATCAACTCTTAGCAATGTCATCATAGCTTCAAATGTGATGTCTTGACCACATCAAGACGATTCGTATTTGTTGTAATGTATTGACCATTGTTAAACGTAATAATCGAATAAGGATCATTCTTATCGTTTTTTCTCTTTTGTTATATCTTAATTAAGAGCGTGTTATAGGTGGCTACACGTGAATATTTATTAACTAACAGGGGATACGAATCTCCCAAGATCGTAAAAAATGTGAATCCCTGGAAGAGGCTTTTACCTGAGAGGGGTTCCTAAGCAAACAGAAAATCAACTTAAATATAGATTTTAATTGTTTCAGATCAAGTTTCACAAAAATTGTAATATTTACTGTAATTAGGCAATAAAAGACTTTATTATTATTGTTATATTATTGGAGATAATTGACCATTCATGTTATGGTGAGGATATCCAATACACTAAAGGGTACTACACTAGTAAGTGCTGGTAACGGTAGCAAATAAAATATTTAAAACTAGCTATTGCTGCGGCTCCACTCGCGTGATTATTTCTCATTTTGTGTTCTTTGAAAATGATGACTTTCCATATTTACCCCCTTAGGGATGAAATTTCCAAAAATCCTTTAGTAGTGGGTGCTTACAACATGAAAGCAATACCTTCAGCTTTGTAGTCCCAGCGGTTTAGGCTCTGCCTTGATGAATCAGTCAGTAAGGGAAGTAATTTTATGTGTAGGCATAGTACAGATAAGCCCTTAAAAACTTGTTTTATTCTTCTTAACTTAAAATTAATAATGGTTTAAATTGTTGGTATTTATTTTGTGTTAAGGTGAAATTTCATGTTTGAATAAAATAAATAGACCATCTTAAAATAATAGGGGTTAAAGTATGATATTGCCGTTGTCTAGTAATAGATACCTTGAATAGACATCAACCTTCATGGTGTGAGATTTTCGTGTGTTTTTTTTCTTACATAATACTGTGGCGACTCCCACATACAAAGAAACAGAAACATACTGCAGCGCCATCTAATGAAGACACACCGAACTACGGAGTAACTACTAAAATAAGAATTACTAATCCTGTATCGCGATATAAAGAATTCCCTCGCCGATTAGCATATATACAACTTCCCAACATCAACCGTGGGGCCGCGGCCCGCCAGGCATAATCACCTCGCCTGGTCGGAGGATCCTCCCTTTGTGTTGGAGGGTCATGACACCCGTTCCTCTACAATACCAAAAAGGTTCTTCGTTTAAAAAGATTAAAGATTTCAAATATT